AAGGCTGCCTCTGGGAAATGTGGTCCCCAAGGCTGCCTCTGGGAAATGCGGTTCCCCTGGGTCGCCTCTGGGAAATGCGGTTCCCCTGGGTCGCCTCTGGGAAATGCGGTTCCCCTGGGCTGCTTCTGGGAAATGCGGTCCCCCTGGGTGTTGACCTCCAACCATCCATAAGTGGTCACTGGAGACGGATGAATTAGTAGGTTGTTACCAGAAATCTCACAGTCTCAAATCCTAAGGTCAGCTGAGCGAACATCACCGACGGGCCCCAGAACAAGGCCTTTAACCCCCAGCTTTCTCCAAGAAAAAACACACTTCACTTCAGATAAAAGTGTCTGCTAAATGAATAAAAATGCAAAAATATGCAGGGAGAGGTGCTTGTTAATGAGAGCGAGTAGGCCGCACAGGAACGCGTGAGAGGTCTTGGTAATTACACACACACACACACACACACACACGTCATCCGGAGTTTGTATTACCCAAAAACGAGGCTGTGTTTTGGTTTTCCTCCAGGGCAATTCCGGCTCAGCGTGTCCTATAAAACGATTATGCTCCCCCCCCAAGCTGCCCGGTCAACCTCCAAACAGGCTATTAATTACTGAAGCAGAGTAATGCTGGAACTTGCCTGCTCCCCTGGGCTGCTTGGGGGGCGGCGATACCGCTGAATTACGCCTGACCTGTAGGGGGCAGATCGATGCCTGCAAGGCACCTCTTCTTCCGGGCTCTGAGGGAGGACAGAGACTCGCTGTGGACGAACACCCTCCTGTTTCGACCCCCTTGGCGGCTACTTAGCTCCCGTTTACAATTTGATTAAGTCCAGCAATTAAAATTAAGTGGCGGAACTTTCTAGGTGTGCCGCGGGGGGCTTAAACGGCTCCTTAAAGTTAATTTCCATCCTCTCTCGGAAAGAGGGCCGAATGCCACACTTGTTTGCTGGTCTCAGATGTGTTTCGCTTCTCCTTTTGTCTTTCTCTCTCTTCTTTTTTTTTTTATCCAAATCTCACATTTGCATTTTCTCCCAGTTGGGAAGCGTTTCCCGTGGATTACGCCAATGCCTGCGACGTCGTGCCTGTGCCCCATCCTGCCCACCGCCCCTGCGTCCCCAAGCGGGGGGGGACCCGGGCTTGGCGATCAGGAGGACAGAGGAACCCCTGGCAGAGAATCTGAGGCCGTGATTGGCTGGTTGCTGCTCTTAGCACTGGGCAGTGGTTTGCCTTAATTTTTTTTGTGCCTTTGGCTCAGTGGAAGGACGTTGGGAAGGATTAGCGAGGCTTAGGGCGGCTGCCCGCCACACTTCCGCGGGTTCCCGATAATCTCCAGGGTGTTCTTTTAACGTCCGGCTACACTTTCTATGTTTTCATAGTTAGCACCTACCCCGGAAGGGCAGGCTGGGGAATGCGGCCATCTGTATTCAGCGGCGGTGTCTACCCACCACTCAAACCACACATTTGTATGGGGTATCCAAGGTGGGGGACCCCTGTTGGAAAGAAAGTGTCACTACACTAGGGGTGGCCCAGAAGTGATTTATTTATTTTTACTTTTTGGGCAAACACACCCCTGTATGCTCGGATGTTCTTTGCCTCGTGCAATGGTACTACACGTCGTTTTTGCAGTGGAAATGACGTCATAGAAATGAGTCGTTCCCGGGCTTTGAGGCTGGGAATGGGGGGGGGGGCTCAAATCCGAAAGTCCACCTTCCGGGCCACACTTGGGTGGACTTTCCATCAGGG